TTGTTTCAGCAACTTAGATACAATCCAATGAGTGATTGATCAAAGTTTCCAAGGACCGATGGACAATGACCACTCCCAACGACTCCCAACCGCCATCGACTCCAAGTTCCTGGCCCCTCCGATTGGTTCGGAGCCTCATTTTGCAGCCCGTAGTCTGAGACCAACTTATCTGTGAGGTCATCCTGAGTGGAAAAGACTTTGGCGTGTTGTTGAGGAGTCCATTGATGCCTTTTGATTCGTAGGATGGTACACGAGTTACAGGAGCTTTACCTTCCTTTTTGGCCCCCGTGTGAGTTACCCGGGATAAGTTGTGCTACTAAGCATTTTGTAGTTATAAGTTATAACACAAAAAGTTGACCTCCAAATGAGGATGTAAGAACCGAATCTCTACAAAACACTCCGTACAAGGGCACTTGGGGACAGGGACACAATCTACAACATGGGGAGGTTGTAACAGGAGGATGGGTAAAGAAAAACATAAACTTATTAAGAATAACCCAAAACAGTCCATGATACATTCTGTAGAGATGCAAGTTTTGCAAGTCAGAGCAAATTGCGGCAACAAAACATGACCACAGGATCAATACCATCTTATATAAATGGGAATGACCACAGCTGTGTCTACAGAATCACAAGTCTGCAAATTGGCGTATTGTAGGTGCACTCAGATTTCCCCTCTACAAAATGCCCAAACTCAAATGCAGGACAAGTTGTCCTATGAAAAAAGCCTTATTCCAGTGGTCAACCCACCCATTCTGTCGTGAAAACGTGCAGAATGATTGTGTTTTTTGGCGTTGCAACTAGATAGAGTTGCGTAAACCTTGACCACACAGGAGAGGCCAGCTCAAAGAGTCAGAGGAAACTTTGCTGGAGTCGTTGGCACGAGCAATTGCTCCGGAGCTAGGATTCAATAGCTTCTTGTTACTACTAGTAGCTTATTGTTTCTAATAGCTTCTTGTTACTACTAGTAAGGCACTTGTTACTAGAAGCGATGCACTTGTTACTAGTAGCTTATTGTTTCTAATCAAAGGCTGACTATGAGCTTTTACTTCTGCCACGAGAACACCGAGCTATTGACCTCCCATCTTTCAAACAGTGGTCGCTCCCAACAGCGTCACTCCAAACGAGCCTGTCTTGCCCCGTTGGGCACCGCGGGCCTGCGAAGAAAGAAGCACTTGATGTTCATTTCGATCTTGCTGTCGTCCCCCCATCTTTCCTTGCAAGACTGTTGCTGCCTGCACTGCCTGCTCCTTTTTAGCCGCGCCGCGCGGGAGTGGGGACCCGCTGTTTTCTCTTTCTTCGTCGCGAGGCTGCAGGAACCCGAACGAAAAAGAAGACACAACAATGACTTCTTCACAGGTTCCCAATGGTGCCAGGCAATCCTCTTGATCAACAATCTTCAACAACAAAGATACCTCACAGATCCTCACAGTCTTCCTGAAACACTTCATACACCTTCTGGGTACTGGAACTTCATGTAACTTCTTGTTCTTCCGATGCACTACCGGCTGCCGTCCGGGTACTCAGATCCTCCACGGCGTGGATTCTCCCCTGGCCAAGGTTCCGTCAGGGATGGCGATCATCGTCCCCATCAGGTGCAAGTGTCATATTAATATGGCTGTGGGGAGCTGGCACCAGACCGACCGGTTGACCTACCGACGTCAGATCAAGCTATCCAAATATTGACCCATCCCCATATGCCCCATTTGGAGCGCACCTTTTTGCAATGGCGTGGGCCTTAATCCGTGGTCGCATCAGGACACAGGACACTATAGGACTGACGTCCTGAGGTCGTTGCATTCGCCAATGTTTAATTAATCGAAAACTACCCTCTCGCACTCACCCCGCGCTGTGTACAGGAGAGTGCTCTTGTCCTCACCAAAGCATGCACGTGCCGCACAGTTGGCGGGTTCACACACTGCTCCTCGGTTGCCTCCTGGAAGGACAGAATGGGACTTGATTGCTGAGAGCTCGCTCGAAGCGGTTGTGCGAACAGTGGATTGCCACAAGTCAATCCACCAAGCGTCCAAATGTGTTTGGTTAAAAGCTAAATAAAGTTAACTTGCCTCAACAATGAGATCCTTTCGACCCTTGAATTAATGTGATCGCGATAGGTTGAGAAAGAAAAGGAAGTTGATAGCTCCCTCGCAAACATCTTCAATACATTGGACAGTGTGCACATGCCCACCAATAGCATATATATATATATATATGTGTGCATAAAAACATTGTTACAGTATACATTGCACGCATTCGTATACATGTGTCAAAAAGAAACTTGACACTCAAACTCAACCCCGATCATGTTGGACAAGCTTAACAAAGGTACTAAGCATTTCTTGGTCAGCAGCCAGCATAGCTTGAATCACCTGGAATGGAATCTAAATAGATACTTCCAAGGAGTTCCACTCCGATTTCCTCCTGTGTCTGGGCATTCTACTCTGGCGACATGTGCACTCTCACAAGGAGTTTGACACCCACGTTGGAGACATCGCTTTTTCATTATTGGTGTGACTCGTGGGCCGTTCTCAGCGACCTCAAAATAAAAGCATTTGCTCTTGATCAGAGCTTCCCTCTAACCCCTACTTCTTCCCTCTAACCCCTATTCCCTTCCCGTCCTCGCAAAACGCATTTCACAGCTCCATGCAGGTACAGGTTATTCACCACCCACTGAGGTACCTCCCCTGAAGTTGCACCATTTTTCTGCAAGTTCAATAAAAAAGCTTCACTTTCGCGGTACTCGTTGGCGTTGTCAGCCATGGATATGCCAAAATAATTAGGCAGTGTCTCCTCGAAAGTCTTGCACCATTTCTCGGACACTTCTTCGAGAAAGGTGAAATTGTTAACAATTTTGGAACGTGGCAGGTCGTAGAGGCCATTCACATAACAAAACAAGTCATCCAATGGCAAATCGTGATCACGGACCACCAAAGTCCGACCGTCGAACAGCCGAAAGGTAAAAGGCGTTGATGTAGAACTGTTCAAAAATTTCACGTAGTAGGGCTCGTGCCTGCGCGGCCAGGATGAAACGGAACCAAACTCTTTTAAAAGTGACACCACCGAACAGGAGAACACATGGAAATACAACAAACAACATTCGTTTTGCGTACCCACTTGCAGGATGGGGGGTCCCTTAGATACCCTATACCGTGGATACCTTACCTGCAGGAATATTTTAAAATATTCCTTAGGGTTGGGGCTTTACAGCAACAAATATTCCAGGGATTTCCAGCAGGGTTCAACCGTCCTGGAATATATTTCGGTAACAAGCATGCACTTAGTGTTCCTGGGCACTTCAACGTCTAGCAAAAGTCTAAAACATATTCCTATATAATTCAATTAACTGTTCCAACAGGTAAGGGTATACCAATGGTATACCCTGGAATACTTAATTAAGGCACCCCCCATCATGCAGGTGAGACACGTCAGTAGAACATTCTTTACATGACCAGTGCGGCGGCTGATGGCGCACTGACGGACCCAATGATCCAATTCGCCGAAAACGCACCAACCATCTGCGTGGTATCGAGCTGACACATCCAGGATTGGATCTGCAAAGTCCTGTCGACAGGGAGTCGCGAGAACCACACAGAACCAGAACCGGTCGTTAAAAAATTTCATCGGTTCAACAAATACTTCTTAGTAGGCGACTTGGCGGAGACATCTTCATGGCTGTGCATGGCACACTTGATTTAACTGACAGTTGTAGATATGTTGGAGACGTCACTCTGCAACAATGCGACGCACAAACATCTTGACTAGACTAGTTCCGTCTGGTAACACCGTGCCCGTGGACGACACTGTGGCTAATCTTTGGACTTGCAAATCAACGGCCCGGGATCATCTGGGCTTTTGGGCATCATGTGAATCTGAATGCCAACTCGGCATCATGGGCACTGACCATTCTGACAATTCCCCGGAGGAAGGTCTGCGAGGAATTGGTCCAGCCAGCTGCGCAGCCACTCCTCGCAGGTGAGGTTGGCCCATGGCACACATATGCCTGTCATAGTCTCGTTGTGGCTGGCCTCGACCAAGTTATCATTGAGGCTCACACGAGTCTGCAGAAACTGGCAGCTGGCGGGGGCCTGTCGTGGCAGGCATGGTGCCACGTGTGCTTCTGGAGGCTGAATCCAGCAGCACACTTCAAGCCATTCTTAGAATGATCGGGTAAGATCGGGTGTCTCATGTTGTGTCCCCACTATGCGGACACAAACTGACTACCTCCTCATCCGTATAACGATGTGTTTAACGATCTGAATCTAAACGACCGATTCCAAGCAACAAACGACAATCGACAAAGGATGTCTTTCGTCTATCACTCTTACATGATATGCCATGATTTAAAACTCCCTCCAAAAAAATGCACCGTGTCACGCCTCGTCGATCTCCGCAAGGCTCACAACAACCACCCAAAAACGAAGCACCACAACGGCACCAATGCTGCGGGGTTCCAACATGGCGAGGCACTTGAGGCACTGAGGCAGAAGAGATCAGAAGTCGACTCAGAAGCGATCATCGACTCAGTTAATCTTGCTTTCAGAAACTAATCAATCTGTCGTGCTCCTCCGTTTGGTCTAGCAGGCATGCTCCTCCACACCCTCCCCACTTGGAGATCACACGGCTCACCACTCAAACAAGCGGTAACATCCCAAAAAAACAACACACCACCTGGACCCTCCAGTTCTGACCCTCGAGGCCTTGAACATGGGACATGACTCATGACCCTGTAATATTGAATATACATATACCAGGACACCCGGGCCAGGGGCTTCTATTGATAGACCCTTAGATGTTAAGGGGTGTCCATTAACCACCCCTTGTGGGTCGTAAAGCAATTGTACAAGGTACGAATAGGTCGAGTCCATGAACTCGAAAAATCTTCAACCTTCAAAGAGCGCAACGTCACGCACACGCGCCATTGGCATTTTTGGGCCTAACATCTCTAGAGGCCTGGGGTAAATGAACTCTATTTGAATGCTACCTTTTTGCACTGACCGCGCATGGTGTACAGGAGTGTATTCCTGTCTTCGCCCAAGCATGCTCGTTCTGCGCAGTTGGCGATGTCACACACTGCTCCCGTGTTCTCTCCTCTTCAGGGGCAGGGCTGTGAGAAACGCCGAACGCTTCGGGCGGTGTTCGAGCGGACATGGCGCTGCGAGGAAAGCCTTCACCTGCTCACCTGTCCAAGCGGAATCGGCACCGTCTCCTGCGGCCCCGTCCTCGCAGGAGACATTGTGCGGCTGCATGGAAGTGCAGGTTGTTCACCACCCACTGAGGTACATCCCCTTGAAGTGGAGCCAGCCTTCTGCAAAGCGACTAAGAATGATTCTGTGGCCAAAGTCTCGTTCAAAAGGGCGGGCCATGGATATTCCAAAGATATTAGGCACAATCTCTTCCAAGTGCTTGCACCACTTGTCCGAGACTTCTTCGAAGAAGGTGAAATTCTTGACAACTTCAGCCCGCGGTAGGTCGTACCAGTTGTTCACATAACAGTACAGGTCATCGCATGGGACAACGTGATCACGGACAACCAAAGTCCGACCGTCGAACAGCCGAAAGGTAAAAGGCGTTGATGTAGAACTGTTCAGGATCTGAGAGTAGTGGGTACCTTCGTCGACCAAGTTCTCACAAACAAACACGACACCTGATCGGGCCAGTGGAAACACAAAAGTTACCGCGGGGTAACATGAGCCCACTTGCAAGTGAGAAACGCCAAAGCAAAGTTGTTGACATTGCGCGTTCGGCGGGCAACTGCGCAATCTCTCGCCCAACTCGCCTCCGAACCAAACACGCACCAGCCATCTTGGTCATATCGAGCTGACACATCCATAATTGGATCCGCCAAATCCTGGAAAGGAGGCTCGAAGTGAGCTCCGCTCAAGCAAGCTCGCATGTTTTGAGCGAAAAGAAAGGAAGGACCAACAACATAAGTTGAATATATATATATATATGACGCGCGCTTGACAATGATGTCTCCCAAAACCTTATCGTACAATGATGTGGAGCTGCAAACCCTCTAGCTTGCATCTTTCTGTTCATCCATACAAGTCAAATGTCCAAAAGAATCTAGGAACCAAGTCATTAAGCCCCGGCCTTTCGGGCTAGCCTCCTAGCCTAAGAAGCTGGTTAAGCTTAGCAGCAACTTCTTAGCAGTTAGTGCTTAGGGTCTACCCCCTTGGCCCCCCCAAAAAAACAACAACACATACTCCGACTTACAGGATGAGAC